ACCCCCCCCAGCTCCCGGCAGCAGCAGCTCACTGTCTCTAGAGGCAAAGTAAGGCCCCGTCCCAAATTGGGGAGGTTTCTATTGTGCCTCACTTTTCAATTGGAGGGGCTTTGAGAATTTAAAGATTTCAGAAAAGACGACGAAAACCTTCACAGCAAGGCTGATGAGGAAGTGGGGACCCTGCTCCCTTTCTGTGTAGGCTACCCCTTCCCCAGGGGACAGAGCTTGGTGGTCTTTCCCTCGGTGCTGGCGCCTGTTGGAGCAGAGGGGCTGCTCCCACACGTGGGCAGAGGTCACTGGGTACCACCCCATTCGTTCTCAGGGCCTCAGGCTGTGGGCAGGCACCTGCTCCCTGGGCACAGAGCCCAGTGGGAAGCTGAGCTGTGGTTCTCAGGGTTCTGAGAGCCCCTGGGCATTCGAGCCTGTCAACCATTTCCACACAGACACGCACACGTGCACACCACATTTGTTGTTGTTGTTGGGGGCTGTCAAGTCAGCTCCGACTCAGCAACCCCATGCACAGAACGAAATAGTGCCCAGTCCTTTGCCAGCCTCCCTATCTGTGCTATATCTGAGCCCGTCGTTGCAGACATCTCGTTGAGGGCCTTCCTCTTTTTTGTTGACCCTCCATTTTACCAAGCATGATGTCCTTCTCTAGGGAATGGTCTTTCCTGACAACATGACCAGAGTAGGTGAGACACACACACGTGTGTGCAGACCACTTACATGCACATATCATACATGGACATGCTACATGCATGTGTACATGTCACATATGTGCACGTATACCACTCGTGTACCACACACATATGTGCAACACCTCTTATGTGTCCACACACACCATGTACATGTACACATAGGGCATGTACATGCCACTTACATGTGCACATGCTACACACGTACCCAACACCCTACTCTGCCAAGGGTGGGCATCTTTGTCCTTGTTCTTGGGTAGGTTTTTCCTGTCCTCTGGGAAAGATAACTTTTCTGTCCAGGAAGGGACCACAGGGGACATTCGGTACTTGGTGGAGTGGCTTTGTGTGGCTCAGTCAGAACCTGTGGAAGGCACTGGGATGTCCTCGTGGCCCCTCGAGAGTCCTGCACGAGCCACACTGAGAGTAAACCCTTGGGTTGAGTTCTTGTGCGCCTTCCCATCAGTGAGGTTTGTCCCACACGCGGCCCTGGTCACGAGCAGCACGTGTGCTGAGTGCAGGCACCAGGGAGACTGCAGTGTGAAGGGGGCTGATGCCATGCTTGTGTTGCAGAGAGAAGCCGAACCCGAGGTTGTGGCAGATGCCCCCGGGAGGCCAGTGGTCGAGCCACAGCCCGAGGTCCCTGACGCCATCTTGCCTGACGAGGTGCTGAAAGACACCGCCCCCATCCTGGAAGGCGTGAAGGTACAGGGATTGCATGGTGTACAAGGACGGGGAGGGCACGAGACGAGCAGGAGGGTGGGGGCCCAGTGGGCCCAGGCTGGGTGGCTACTGAGAGTCAGAAGCCACTGTGGGCTTTGCACAG